TAACTTGGAGGTCTGTCATACATGGGGTTGCCATGGGTTGAAGTCAACTCGGAGGTAGTTAACAACAAATACCTGGCTTTCCTCTAGAAAGCTCTTGGGGATGTACTTGATTCTTTTATCCACACTTCATTATCACACCAACTTAGGCTTGTCCAGGTTTTTCTTCTTATAAGAGATGTCCATTGGATCAGAAAACTTACCTTTTAAAGGGCTGGCAGATGTCCCTTATTAGAAAGGATGCCCCCTATCTGAGTATTGACAAGCTTTTCCATTTATATCTATATTTAAAATATTTATATCTCATACAGACTGACCAAAAATCCTGAAAGTAAAAAGCGGCCGGTTTTGTCTACATTCAGTGTGGGTTGATGTCAGATTAATGCTCAATGCCCCTGATGTGTCTGAAAACGATCCCACTTTTGCGGGATTTGTCTACTTTCTGTGTGGGTTAATTTTGGATTAATGCTCAATGCGTCTGAAAACGATCCCGCTTTTCTGGATTTAAATCCCATTTCTGCATGGGATTTGGCCAACTCCCTCCCATATGATAAACTCCTTGGGACAAATAATATCCTGTATTTGGGGTGAGGGTGGGCCCTTCCTAAAGAGAGAAATGTGTTGTTGTTGCAAACTGTCTTCAAGTCACCTTCAACTTATGGTGACCCTATGAATGAGAGACCTCCATGTCAAGTTATCAACATCTCAGTTTAGGTCTTGTTTAGTTTAGGTCTTAGGGCCATGGCGGTTTAAGTTTTAGGGCCATGGCTTCCTTAGCTGAGCCTGTCTTCTACCTGTACGGAAATGTGGTTTATAAATATTGATCATTATGTTAATTTTACAAAGAAATATGTGGCTAGGCTAACTGACATCAATACTTTCATGCGATACTTTTGGCAGAACACAAAGTTGTCCTTATTGCTGTTTTGAAGACCTGGAAACACTACACCATGTGTTTTCATGACTAGTGTGTTTCCTGACTCACTGGGGACTTGAACCTATCTCACATTTTCTATGCAACACTCCAGCACTCTGCCACCGATAGATAAGGAATACATGAACTGAGTCTGCCTGATCTGTAATTGTTAGTTGTTGTTAACAGCCCTTGAGTTCACCTCGACTCA